ATATATATATATATACTTTATATGGTTTCAATAGATGTTCTAACACTTGTTAATGCATTTATCATATTTGCATCTTTCATCGAGAGATAGAAGAATCACATGAAGGAAATATATTTGATCACTATCAAGAAAGACTTTCAATTAAATTAGGAACATTGACCAATATAAATGATTTTAAATTGTAACTTTAATTGTTATACTAAAAATGGAATAACAAGAAGTATTCGACATCTTAACAATTCATCTCATATATTTGACAAAAACTTTCGCAATTAACTTAGTTAATATGATTAGATATATAGTATAGATACTCAAACGAATTTGGTTATTCAATTAATGTTGAAATTAATTGGCATTAGATTAAGTACATATTCATTATGGGTTTGACACTCTATTTACTACTTTATTGCTTGTTCACAATTCCGTTCACTTATGGAAAATCAAAAGATCATTAATAGTTTGATGACATTACTTGTTTACGATCCCATTCACTTGCGGGAAATCAAACGATCATTAATAGTCTGCATAATTGATAAATATTGGTACTAGTTATACTTAAAAATTGTTATTTAAAAAAGAACAACAAATTAAACTTAATAACTATACAAATCTGCTGAATCAAAATACAAGCAAGTACATCTAAATCTTTGTGATATTGGCAAGTTTTCCAATCTGGTTTCCAGCTGCCTCATGACTTAGGCAGGCTAAAGTGCTAAGATCTTTTCAAGCCAACTATCCTCTCAACCAAACTTCAATACAACGTATATAACAGTGTATCAACATGATGCTCTTCCAAGAAATGCAATTATTCTTCTGGCAAAACACAACTGAAAGAGTGTCTCATTAATTAATTGAGTGCCTGAAAACTAATTAGAAAATTACGGTACATTCGATTAGGTAGATGGGACAAAAAATTTAAAATATCAACCATTGTATTGTTAAGCCATTTATTATTTTGTGTACCAAATATATGCTTATAAGTTTGAAATTTCTGGTGTGCTGATATTCTACTACCACAAAGTTGTATCAGACCTCAAAATCAACTTTAGGGTGAATTAATATCCAACCACTACATCAAAAACCACCTTTTGCAATGAGCACAAAAGTTGTGAAACACCTTTCACTATATGCAAATGCACGTTGTGGGATTCGATGATGTTGTAGAGTAATAGAATACGACAACTGACAATACATGTTAAAAAATGACGAGGTTTTAACAAAGTTCACTGACCGTTGCAAAAAATGCGAAACATGTAAATTTTTTTGCAACAGCCAAGTGAACGTTGCAAAAGGAAACAATACCAACATTTATTAAATATTGTTGCAAAATCTCAATTTTATAATAAATGGCAACATACACTTAGTTAATGTTGAGATAGACCACTTTTACAACAGTCAATTAAAAAATGTTGCATTTTACATACAGTGAAAGGCAATATTTCTTATAGCGAACTGCCTTTAATTCTCTCATGTACCAATAATGAGCAATATTTTTTCCCTTGTTGAGCCAACCAATTTTCTGGTAAATGATTTCGGTCCTTGTTAAGCCAACAAATTTTCTGGCTTTCAGTCATAAATCATTTACTTATATTTCATGCTAAAATATATGCCGCCAACCTCGAGAATTAGGTCCAAAAAATCTATTAAGTTAATTTTATTTTATTTTTTGATATATGCCTTGGTATTTGTTACCCCATATTATGTTCAAGTTCCGAAATTCAGGTCTCAAGCTCCAGGCTTTCTAAAATGCCGAGCACATGCACGTTATCCATAGGCTACAATTAAAGATAGCTTTGCATGAAAAACTAATACATCTATAATGAATTCCAACAGTTTCTTATGACTTAACGCTAAAAAGTAATATAGTCTCCTGATGTTAGCTCGAAATAGACATTGTTGTTACTTGGGAAGCTCAAACTCAAGGAACCCAAAGACCGTCAGAACCCATGAGAAGATGGGGATCCTCAACTCGGGTTGCCATCTTCTCTGCCACCTCTTTCACCTAAAATCGGGTAGATAGAAAAATATGTTAGAAAATGCAACTAAAATAAAAGAGTCAACTGAGACAAAAACAGCTTGGCCTAATAAGCATTTTCTACGAATTTGCAACGGGGGAAAATCCATATGTAATTTTTCTCTATAAATATTTTGCAATTCATTGTAAATTCAACAAGAAAAGCCTGTTTTTGTGTTAAACCACTCGTCTCTGTTATTGACTTCATTTATTTTTTCAGTTATTTAAAAATCAATTGTTGAAATTTTTATAATTGATGATAATTTGATTAAAACTTAGAATCATGATACTATAATGGACCACTTTATCTAAAAAAATTAATATTTTAACAATGTGGTTTAACATTTTATAGTGCCATTTGAGAGAGTGAATGCTAATAAAGTGGAACAAGTGAAAATTGAGAAATTGGAGATGAAGAATTCAACGTCACTCATTGTAATGAATGGTCCATGTAATACAAAAATAATACCCCACCAATCAAATCAAATAAATCCCAATTTTTTTCTCATTCTCTTGCTTTTTTGTGACTTGTGCCTTCATTTGTCTCCGACAAAGAAAATCAACTCTTGCACGTGCTAAGCTACAAAGATCTTTTCAAGNCTTTTTTGTGACTTGTGCCTTCATTTGTCTCCGACAAAGAAAATCAACTCTTGCACGTGCTAAGCTACAAAGATCTTTTCAAGGAGCCATGTTTTCTTCAAAACCAAGTACCAATGCTCGAGTGAATTACCCAAATGATCATTGAACTTTTCAAAAAGTTTCCACGTGATCACTGAACTTTAAAAATCACCCAACTCATCACTGAACTTTGCTAAAAGTTTTCACGAGACCACTAAACTTTAACAATCACATCATTTATCACTAAATTTTGCAAAAGGTTTTCCAAGGTGACTCGTGGAAACCTTTTGTAAAATTCAGTGATGACCTTTTACAAAGTTCAGTAACCATTTGGATAATTCACTCACCAATGCTCACTACAACAGAGTTTGCTTTCTATGGCATACATTTGTGTATCGTAACAAATCCTTATGACGTACATGTGAATGCCGTATAAAGTCATGTTGTAAATACTATCTTTTTACGACATGCAATGCCTATTAGATTACATATCAACATAGTGGCCTTCTAAGAAGTGCAATTCTTGTTTAGGCTAGTAGCAACCAACAGAAGGTCGCATTGACCAAGAGGTGCCTGATGAAATAATCAGAAGCAATTATAGGTTTGAAAATATATGCTGTAGTGAAATTCCATTACCATAAAATTGTATCTGACCTCAAAATCAACTTATTTTAGGGAGAATTGTGTAATGTCCAGCTTCCTCTTCTTTTTGGTGTACCAATGAGCAGTATCTTTTCCTTTGTGCCATTTTTTCATTCTCTTTTCTCGTGAGCGTTTACTCATGGCCTTTTGCGTTACTGCATAAAAATAAAAATAAAAATAAAAATAAAAATGAAAAAAAATAAAATCGAGAGTTCGTTTAGTAAACAATAATTTCCACGTTGATGTTGGCTTATGTTACTTGTGCATTTAACTAATAAAAATTCCTTTTATATTTATTTGTAACTTTACAAATGGGTTCATTCTCTTCGTGGTTCTCAAGATCTAGGGAATGTACAAGTCTGATTGTTGCATCTATATCATATCCTGTTTATCATATTATAGTTTTGAGAATCGCGTGTAAGAAAAAATAATAAGTGAGAACTTACAAGAAAGCTGCTCAGATAATTGGTTGCAAGCATGGTTAAGCCAACCAATTTTCTGATTTTCATGGTCAAAAATCATCAGCTTCCGTATCATGTAAAAGTCTGTGCAGTCAATATTGAGAATTAGATTCGAAAAATCCATCGAATTATTCTGTCGATGCCTTCGATATATTTTTGTTACCTCCCATTATGTTCAGGTTTTCAAATTCTGGTCCAAGTTCCTGGTTTTCTAGGATCCCCAAGCACACATTATCCTGAGGCTGGAATTTTAGAGCTTGATAAGTATTCAATTCTTTCTTATTAAAACTGATGGATTCGTAATGATTTCCAACAAATCATGCTACTTACGCTCATAATAATATAATCTGTTGGTGCTAGTTCGAAATAGACATTGTTGTTACTCGTGAAACTCAATTTTAAGGAACCAAATATAGAACCATTCTGAAAAGGTCTCCAGCAGATGGGAAGATATGGATCATCAACTGTTGGTGTCGGTGCCAACTCTTTCGCCTGAAAAATCAGTAAACATCTTGTGTTCAAGTCTCACTGCCACTCATTCACAAAAACTGCACATGCCTTTGATGAAAAACTGTGCATGCGTTTGATGAAAAATGAATATATCCTACACGCGAGGAAGTATGATGAAGACACTAATGAAATAAATAAACGTATACCTCTTTAACATATTAAAATTTTAGATAATGTGGTTTAAAAATGTTATCTAACATGTAGAGCATAATTGGATAACCTTAAAGTTTTAGCTACAAGTACATAAGTAAGGTTTAAGATTAAGTGTTTCAATTGATTAAAGTTGAAAATAAGTCATCTACTTTGACAAAAAGAGAGAGTTACTTTCAAAATACACAACTCTTTTTACTTAAAAATATAAAAAGCTGACTTACTCAAACATGTTTGAAAACAAGAAGAATACTTGAAAGTAACTTTTGCTTATTTTCGTGCTTAGCCTAACATGCTGTTATCTCTGTTTTCTATCTCACCTTAGAAAGAACAGCTTGATATATTACAGGGCTGAAGTAGTTAAAAGTAGTCCCACTGTCGAACAAAAAAAGTAATCCTGAAGCAAGAAGATTTCCATTATACGAGAGGTCCGCAGGGCCAAGCATATTATTTGGCCTGTAATATTAGTGATTTTAATCAATACTTTCATTAATTCTTAGTTAAATGGATTTTGATATAAACTATCTTAATTTTTCTTACTCCAGGCGATTGTTTGACAATGGCATCCATATAATTCCTGGTAAATTGGATTGAGAATCTCCAAGGACAAGATATCCAGGGTCAATTTCACTCAAGCACAGGGCCATGACCTTCTTAATTATACCTTTTTCGCTTAACTGTGATAAAATGCTTGTTTTTCCAGTTCCGAGACCTAGGACCCCATCTGCAAAAGGAGGACGAAGGGAAGGAGAAAATTCCTAATGGTATCCACACCTGCCAGTAGGATGACTACTGTAAATATAAAGCCAAAAATAAATTACGTTCTTTAAAGATTAGTATACAACGATAGTGATCGAATTTGTGGAGCCTAACTATATCAGCAAATTGTTTAAGAGTATTTCGGGTGTTTCAAGAATATACTGGGTACATATGTATTTGGTTGACCTAACTCTCATAAAACGGTAATCTGATTTATCAAAAGAACAACCAAAATTGAGGGAAGTAAGTTCAAATACTCGTAGTGATATGTAGAACTATCAACTATGTTTGATTTTCAAAATGAGAAATTTACTTACCCAAAGGTGAGAGTGGGCACGAGATGTATCAAACTGCCCTTCAAGGAGGGAGAGAGAAAGAATTTGTCCTTAACCAGAACACCAAGAGATAACCTTGATCTGCATATTCAATCTGATAATCACATTGCTGATTTTGCTTACTGCATTGTGGATTTATTGGTTTTTCGACCAGTCCACAAGTTGAGGCATCCTCGCATGATATGAAATTGTTCTTGGTCTTGTAAGGTTCGTGAGGGGTTTCATATGTGCTAAAAGGCTGCAACTCCCAATGAAATGTTTCTCAAATTCAGCTTACCTTGTGAAGTGAATTGCATGTTTATAGAGCTTGAAATATGAAAGAAGTGTACCTTTAGAAACTGAATATTGGTTGGGGAACAAGTGATCCATGTGAGGTCACTGCCAGTGTCGATATTAAGATAGAACCCATCTAATCTGTTTCCCACAGAAACTGCAGCATGAAAAAACCTGCAAATTGAAGAGTTACATAAGGCAGATTGGATAACAATGAAAAGTATTAAACAAGAAAAAGAAGTTAAAATCTTCTCTATTGTTTAGTTCAATCCTGTCGGTATTATATGCCAAACATATCCATAATGGTTTTCAGGTTGTATGGAATGTTTATTTTAGAAGGAACAGATTGTAATACCCCGTTCTAAGACCATCTCCTTCTACTAGAAAATAGTATGATGGAGTACCAGATTGATCCGTCACTCCTGTTACGTTCTGCACTTCATTTCCATGTGTGAAACAAACCTGAAATTGTAGAATATAAAGCATAAACCACATTAGGATTATTTTCACTTTTCGCTCATTTTTACGTTTCATTTTGAATCACTTTTCGAAACTGCAGAATGTGTGAGATTAAACTTACATATATAGGAGTTCCAATTGATGATATAATCTACTTAATTATGTTATCTTAGGATTTGTATAATATCTGACAGAATATTTGTTTCCAAGCAAATCAAAAATTGGAAAAGGGTTATCAAACTTTGGAAAATTCACCAATCAAGTAGGGGCGGTTGCCAATATATATCTTTATTTGACATCTAGTGGTGAAGGTCAGAATTATATTGTTGAATGATTCAAATGAAACCTATTCTTAATTTCTGAATTAAGGATTAGCCAATCCATTAGATGTTTTGTCTTTATTGTTTGTATTGAACAACTTTGGAGATACCAATGTATGATGGAATAACACGTGTGTGGGTAGAACAACCACAGTATTGACCAAAGGAAACAGGACCGAACCCAAACAAAGCATGTGTCCAGTGGGTCGCTTTGAGAAGAAAAGAAATGCTAGTTGTAGAATATTATTCTTGTTAGATTTATTTATTTATTTATTTATTATTATTATTATTTTGCCTGCACGAACAGTGGGCAATTATATTGAGAATTTATAGGCCTCCAAACATTTTCTTTTAACATTTCATATAATTTAAACATTTGGAAATCAACATGTGGCCTCTACCAGATAATACTATACATCTTCCTTTCTTTGTAAGGCCAGCTTGAATGAGCATTGGCAAGTTCGGAAATTGATTTGCCTGAAGCCAATTGTACTCTGTATTATTCTAAGCAATGAGAGTAAATAAGTCTCTGAGGAAAGTGATGAATTGATATCAACTTTACTGAGAATAAACAATCCCGCTTCCTCTTCTTTCCCATGTGCCAACGAGCAATATCTTTTCCGTTGTGCCATTTACAATTTCACGTATTCCCGGAATGCATAGTAGATGTGCATCTTTTACAGCACAAAATATATTGAGGCTTCAGTTGAACATTAATTTGTTTTGTATGTAAAGATCCTGGAATCCCTTGTATGGTAAAAAAAGGTTAAAAGTAACTTAGAAGAAAGCAACTCTAGTAATTCACTGGAGTTTGCGTAATTCAGTACAATCTCTGGTTTTCGAAATTGTAAATCACCAACTTTTGTAGCATAGAAATGACTGTGTACATAAAATTTGAGAATGTGTCCTTGCTGTCGCTTTGAATGATCCACTCAATTTAGATCTTTCAGTAGATATAAAAACTAGAAGAACAGAATCGAGTAGTCAAAATGATTTATTGCACTTTTACCTTGTTTTCACATTCCAATTTGAGTCACTTTCCCTGAATCGCAGAATGAGGCATTGAATCCACTTCATAATATCATGTTATGATATTTACTGCTGTTTTGTACAATATTTGACAGGATCTTTATTTCCAAGGTTCAATTTTTATCATGCACAAGCATCACAAATATGGAAAAATCAAGAACTTGATAAATCAACAAACTGAATACGTAATGAAATAGATTTATATTGAAAATTGTTGTTTCAGACAATGCAAAATATATACAAAATTTTCTAAGGTGCCTAACAGTTCAAATAAATGTGGAGCCAATTAGCCACAATACATTATTCTCTATCATAAAAGCACATACTTAACACAGACCTTTTACTGCTGATGTAAGTGTTCGACCAAATGGAATAGCTAAAACACGGTTGGATCTTACCAACCAAATAAAGCTCGAAGAATCCCAAGTATACTGCCATTCAGCAGTGCCTTCAGAAGTTGAAGCTTCCTAGTTGTGTATGGTGGGTACCTTGCAGATATATCTCCAGCAAAACTACGTCGTAAAACTGCCTTCTTATGGCTGAAAGCGTCAAAAGAGAATTTCCCGTGGTATGATCCCATTCCACTTCCCCCTATGCCTCCAAATGGTAAAGATGACTCTGCAAGCTGCACCAGCAAGTTTGTTATTATGACTCGGGTCATTCCCATCACCCATTTTCTTTTGATAAGCTCATCGTTTTACATGACCCCTAGAGGCGTGCGGCAACAAAATTCGAAGGGAGAAAAAATGGTCCAAGCTAATGAAAATCATAGTACAATTATAAACGAAACAATATATGCTTAATATAATTGGCATCTGTTCAAATTTTATAATAACTTTTGTAAGGATTATAATCCAGGAAGAACAATTACGTGCAGAGTAGTGTCATTAATGCACAAACCGCCTGCTGAGACACTTCCTACGAACTCATCCATTAGCTTTTTGTCATTCGTAAATAAATAAGCAGCAAGAGGCTTCTCTCTAGCATGGATAACATTGATACTGTCTTCAATTTTATCGACCTTCACAAAAGAAAAGATAACAAAGTCAAACAAGTGTTTTCCTCTGTATTCATAACAATAGTAGCATCATATGCAAGATTTTCTAACAAATTGTTGGCGTCTAAAAATGACTAATTATGATTTTTCAGAAATACATCATAAATTTAGCTCTTTGTTTTCGTGTTGATGTATATCTCATTTATAATGGGGCTCAGAAAAGTTCGCCACATGATGTAAAGTTTTACCGTGATAATGGGAAGTAAAGGACCAAATATCTCCTCGTTCATGATCATAGAATCTTCTGGAACATCCAACAAAATAGTTGGAGCAATCCTTCTGCCAGGATAGACAGGAGAATAATAACCTCGATAAAAATTCAAGTTTAATTTAAAATCATAAGGGTAAAATCAAGCTTCCGAACTTACAGATTGGTTTTATCCTGTTGACCTCCATGGACTATCTTACCGAATACCTTCTCATCATCCATTAATTTTGTCAAGCGGTTGAAGTGACTGGAATTTACAATGCGCGATAAGTCTAGTGATTTCAGAGGTTCATTCCCATAGAATTTCTCCAGTTCAGATATCAGAGCATCTATCTGATGAGAAATGACTTCAGAAGTTATTGGAACGTAGAAATTCAATATCCACATCGTCTAAGTTATATGGATCTTCAATCAAATGGAGAAAACTTACCAACTTTGAAGCAAATGCTTTTGTAGTTATTACGTAATCAGGGGAAACACAGGTTTGCCCACAGTTTGAGGCCCACTTGCCTCCAATTACCCGTCTAGTGGCGACCTTGAAAATGCAGAATACCAAAGGTTAAAAAGCAGCACACAATAGTTTTGGCTCTGTAAAAATTCAAATTTGGCGTTATTTTAATAATGGAAGATATAATTACTTCTAAATTTATGTTCTCATCAACAACCACCGGAGATTTTCCACCGAGCTCCAAAATCACGGGGGTAAGATGCTTTGCGGCAGCAGCTAATACAATACGTCCCACCTTTCCATTTCCTACGAATTTACTTGTTTGAATACTTATTTAGCAAGGTCACTTACATATGAAAATTTAAGGAAGTCCACACCGTAATGGTAAAAGATTATTGGGGAGTAGAATCCACGAGTGATTCCATTCAGCATACCTGTATAGAATATTTTATCCCAGTTTTGCTCCAGCAATGCGGTTGTTTCAGGGACAGCACCCTCAACAACTTTCACTGCCGAGGAATCCATATATTCCCCGAGAAGCTTTGAAAGTAGCAAGGATGTGGCAGGAGCAATTTCCGATGGTTTCAACACTACAGCATTTCCAGCTGCAATAGCTCCAACAACTGGATCAAGAGATAACACTACAGGGGAAAGGAACAATCACAATTGAAACACGTTTTATATAATCGATAATTAAAACACGTGAACAAAGAACACAAATAAACCGGAATCAACGTACAAAAAGGATAGTTCCAAGTTGATATGATCAATATAACACCGAGGGGTTCTGAAACTATTTCGGCTGATGAGGGAAATGTAGTTGATGAGGTTTTCGCCTGCGACGACAAATAATTAGCTCTGTAACACCTTTATTTGACTGATGATCAAGATAACAATAAGGTGAAAGTTCATAGTAATTGAGTCAAAGTACCTTTTCTGGAGACATCCATCTGCGTAATTCCTTCAATGCCAACTTGCACGATGATTTGACAGTAGAAATCTACATAATATATAACACTAATCAGATGCTGAGAATGAAAAGACAGTAGAAATAAAGCACTGGATGGCAATCAAAAAAGACGATTGGTTCCAAGAAACTGGTTTATACAAGACTTTGTAAAACTCGTCTTTGGGACTAGCTCATAAAAGGGCCTATCTAGCTATAATTCCAAAGGTCAAGTTTTAAATTGGCAATATGAGATTTCCCTCGTGCTTGCTCCGGTGCCAGTTGTTAGAAACAAAATAATGAGAAATCTGGGAAGGTGTTCAAGTAATTATAAGTCGACTGGCCAAGCTATAAATCTCGAAGCTGCGAGTAGAGTCATTATATGAGCATACTATTTAAGAACTCTACTATACACTCCTAGTTATAAGGAAAACAAGTGTAAATTATGTGACCTCATGGACAAAGGCTTCAAATTCTGGTTTATTGAGGTCAGAACGGAGAGCTTCAATTATCTCTTTCTCATGATCATTGGCCATTTTTATCAGGGCCTTTAACTGCGACTCACGCCACTCGTAGCTTTTCGTCTTGCCACTTGTATAGGTTGCCTTCAGCTCCGTCACCACCTCTGCCACGTCCACCACCATACTATCAACAAACACCAACACCCCACTTTAAAGTTTGTGTATGTGTGCGGATACAGAAGCCAATGCTTTTGAAGTGCTATGAATATTGATGCAGTAGAGAAGGGAATATGGCCTTTTTATACAGAGACGGCTATTTTGATGCTTTTTGACAGTTATGAGCTATATATGGAGGTTTATATGCTTGGTTTCATTTGGGAAGGGGAAGATGGCAGGCTGCATTGGGCCGCGTTTAAAAGCTTGCTTTTTTCAAATTCATTTTTCAACCGAGCTGGGGTTACAGACCTCAGTTCACACAGACTTCTTACAGAAGTCTCACACCATGTGGGGTCGATATTTTTTTTATCATTTTTTTATTACATTGGGCTCCGGAGTGAGACCTACCTTGTGTGAGAGATCTGGTTTGATTCCGTAAAATGAATTCTGTGCAATCAGAATTACTCTTCATTTTTACTAATGCTATCTATTAGGAGGTTTTAAGCTATGTAGCCCCATAATGATCACTTGATGAATGGAGTCCACGTCTTTAGATTGATGAAAATCATCATCAAATAATGCTACTATTCATCTATACTTCTTACGATCATCCGTCTATGTGGTAGTGGGAATATCCAATGAGGTATGAATATATTTTTAGATATTAGACAAGGTGGTAATGAGTCACTGCCTTATAGATCGATGATCATCTAAACTCTAGATTAATAGAAATATTATTTATTCTATTAATATGTCAGAAATCTTGATTCATGATGTTAATGTTTCCATTTAGAAAGTATCTTTAATCTAACGTCAGAGTCTTAAGAATGCGAGGGAAACTAGTAATTCGATTAGGTGTGGAGACTAACTCAAAAAGTTTCAATTTAATTTTCGATTTGAGATTACTACGAACTTATTATTTTAGAAGTACTTGAAGAAAAAACTTGATTCATGGAATCTAATGTCAAATTTATATAAATGCGTAAATAACTAGTTTGTCAATTAGGTGTGGCGCCTAACCCTAAAGAAAATTTTGACACTTAAGACATGATAGATAGTTATAATCACAGTATGTTGTGAACGTAGAAGAACCACACTATTATTTATAGTGAAAAAAATATTTACCTGGGAGATAATGGATAATATAGTCAATTTGAGATTATTGTAACGCCTAGTGAACAAAATTTGTTAGTAATGTACAATAACGATCTACAGAGAGAGTTCGACTAAAACAACCCCCACTTCATGTTTTTGTTTAGGTATATCGAAAAAATAAAACTTCAATATAAGTGATCACAAACTCCAAATCAAGGTTGCAGATCTTATCACCATATGCATATTAATTTAATTCCCAAAAATCACAATCATATCCCATAATTTATTTCATAATTAATCAATTTAATGAGACTTCATCAAGGAGCAACAAGTTTGCACGTTGTCACCATCTATGGTTTCACTTGCTAACGACAAGAATAATTTTATTTTTTTTAATCACATCTTATAATACAATATTAAATCCTTGCATTGATGCGAAAAAGTGATTCATGTAGTCTATTTTAACTTATTGAGAATAATATTTTAGTTGAATTATTATTTTGGAATAACGTATAAGTATTTTTTTTAATTCAACATTATTCATTGAAGAAGTGAAATTGATTGATGAAATGTTCTTTGTTTGTATATTGGGAAAAAAAATGTTAAATAAACGAAGATGAAACCCTGTGAATTAATAAAAAATTCAATGGTATTTCTAACTCAAATAATGTCCAAATAAATAAAACAAGACATTAATAAAAAGCTAGATATATCGCCCCCGCCACATTTTAATTGCATAAAAAGTTCCAACTTTTACTCATTATAACATTTATATCCTCATTTTTCTTCACATTCTTATTCTCAAATAATTACAAATAAAAAAAACCTTCTATTAAAAAAAAAGAAAAAAGAAAAAAAGAAGCTAAAGTAAAATTAAGACAAAATATATTTCTCTTATTTTAAAGTATGCTAACGATATTTTTTAGATGAACACCATGATCAAGTACAAGATTTGCTAGTTAGCCCATGTTTAAGCCCCATTCTTTTAAAAAAAAAATACATTTTTAAACAATGTTTTGATATTAATTCAAACACACATCCTTCAATTAAATATAATGTATTTATAAATATGTTGCGAATATAACTGTCCCCCAAAAAAGGGTAAGTCGAGTTAAGGCTGGTCTAATAGGCTGGACCCAGTCAATCTTGGTTCAACCTGGTGGCTGTATATGGACTTGAACAATGTAATAGAATTTGGTGACATGGTTGGGCCATTTACTTGTTCAAGTGAACTAGTACAAAATTGGCTCAACCGGCCTATTATTAAAAATGGATTAAATTAATCTAGGTAGCTTTTCCCCCCTTGATCACATCGCATTTAAATAATCTTCCTAATGAGATGAAATTAGACTAGATTTTTCAGTCCACATAATGGAGAATGGAGAATCAAACGGAACAAAAGATACACATAGAAAAGAGGCAAATGTCGTTCTACATTTACAAGTAATACAAAGTAACGAATCTCTAGAGACAAATAAAGCCAAAATTGAATGTTACCAACCAACTAAAGCTCGAACAACACCAAGTATATTGCCACCTAATAGTGCCTTGATGAGACGCAATTTCTCCGGTGTGTATGGCGGGTACCTTGCAGCCGCATCCCCAGCAAAACTACGACGTAAAACTGCCTTCTTATGGCTGAAAGCATCGAAAGAGAATTTCCCATGGTACGATCCCATTCCACTTTCACCAACGCCTCCAAATGGTAAAGAGTTATCTGTTACCTGCACCAGCAAAATACCAACTTCATGTTCTCAGAGTATTTTCAAAACCACGTAGAAATTACATGACAGAGATGAAAAGCGTCACACCTAATGAAAAACATAGTACTAGTAAATATGCAACAATATACGTATAATATAGTTGGCATATGTTCAACTCTACGAATAATTACATGCAGAGTAGTCTCATTAATCGACATTCCCCCTGCTGAGACACTTCCTATGAACTCTTCCTCGAGCTTTTTCTCATCTGTGAATAAATAAGCAGCAAGCGGCTTCTCTCTAGTATTGATCACACTGATACTGTCTTCAATTTTGTTGACCTTCATAAAAGAAAAAATTAATATTTCCAATTAAAACTATCCCAAGCTAAAATTAAAATAAAGCAAAAAATGTCAAACAGGTTTGCCACAATCTCGCCATGTTTATGTTGACACACATCTCATTTATAATGGTCTAGTACTGGGGTTATATTCGGAAAGGTTAACTTATTAGGCGGAGTCACACGATCCCCATCTTCATATCAAGCCGATTTGAGAAGTTTCCAACTCGAATGAAGCAGCACATCAATATAGCCCACATGTGATCATTACGGCCCCTCAAGCAATTTCTTCTTCAGTCCATCTCAAATACTCAGTTGAGGACTACATGATTTCCATCTAAAATATTTAACCTATTAGGTGGAGTAGCCTAAACCACTTACAAACCCCACGTCGTCTCCATATCTAACCAATATGGGACATGTTTTTCCTCACATTCATAACAAAAATGAGGCTCTACGAAAAGTTTCAACGAAGGATCCAAATTTTTACCGTGATAATTGGAAGTAAAGGACCAAATATCTCCTCGTTCATGATTAAAGAATCTTCCGGAACATCCAATAGAATAGTGGGAGCAATCTTTCTGCCATTATAGAGGGGAGAACAATAACATTGACACAAAATCTATATTGATTTAAGTATTGTTGAATAAGAAAAAGAATGTTGAGTCACCTCACCTAAAAAAAAGTTTAAGCTGTTGGAGAGGGAATACAATTATTTATATTTAGTATTCAACAAAAATGTTAAAATTATCTTTGGAACTCACAGATTGGTTTCATCCCGTTGACCTCCATGAACTATCTTATCTGAAACCTTCTCATCGTCCAATAATTTTTCCAAGCGATTAAAGTGGTTGGAATTTACAATGTGCGATAGATCTTGTGATTTCAACGGTTCCTTCCCAAAGAATTTCTCCAGTTCAGAAATCAAAGCATCTATCTGAGGAGTTGACATCAGAAGTCAATTAATCTAATTAAGTGCTCGTCTGTTGGATAGAAAAATATGCAAGTTTATTTTTCTTGATACAGTCGAGTCATCTTTAATACACTTTACCAAACATACCACAAATATCTTTTCTGGTGTGTGTTATATGGAACTTCAATCACACCCAAAAACTTACCAACTTTGAAGCAAACGCTTTTGTAGTTATCACGTAATCAGGGGCAACACAAGTTTGTCCGTTGTTTGAGCACCACTTGCCTGCAATTATGCGTCTTGCAGCAACCTTGAAAATGAAGAATACCAATGGTAAAAATAGAAGTAGATGCTGGTCGTGGCACAATATAACAGATAAGAAAATAAATCATTACTTCTAAATTAATGTTTTTATCGACAACCACTGGACATTTTCCACCAAGCTCCAAAATCACGGGTGTTAGATGCTTTGCAGCAGCAGCTAGTATAATGCGTCCCACCTTGCAACTCCCTTCAAGATTGTAAAGATAAACGCCTACAATTATTTATTTCTTCTTAAGATGAAAAATACAAGCGATTGAACTCGTTAATACCTGTATAGAATATTTTATCCCATTCTTGCTCCAGCAATGCAGTTGTTTCAGGAACCGCACCCTCAACAACTTTCACAGCCGAAGAATCCATATATTCATGGATAAGCTTTGAAAGCATTGAGGATGTGGCAGGGGCGATTTCTGAAGGTTTCAACACTACAGTATTACCAGCTGAGATAGCTCCAACAATCGGATCAAGAGATAACACTGAAGGGAAACGTCACAACTGAAACGTGTTTTATACAGTCGAGAAATAAACATGTGAACAAAGAACAAGGAGAAATAGGAATCGACATACAAAAAGGATAGTTCCAAGTCGATATGACCATTATGACACCCAAGGGTTCTGAAACTATTTCAGCTGACGATGGAAACGTGGTCGATGAGGTTTTCACCTGCAATCACAGACTATTAGCATTGGAATTACCCTTATTCGACAGATAACCAAGTGAACAATCAGCTTCCGAGTTTTTATAATAGAGTCATTAGTCAATATACCTTTTCTGGAGTCATCCATTGATGTAATTCCTTCAATGCCAACTTGCACGACTTTTTTACTCCAGAAATCTACAACATACATAATGTTAATCAGATGCAAGCGAATGAAATTTCAAAAACACGAAAAGAATCAAAACTTGACACAATATTTATTTGTATTTAATGCATTTGGCTACTAGTTACTCAAACAGAACTTCACGCACATTGAATGCTGCTATCTGTGGAAGAATTGTCCATTTTTGGAAACATTTCAAATCTTGATTAGGACAACAATAATAGAAAAGGGATGAATGTTTTGGAGATGAAACCAACGATCTTTAATTGTTAAAAGATTTAAACATGACATTGGAGTAAAATTTATTTTCTATGAACTTGGAGCTGTTAAGAAA